GCTGATAACTGTTATAAAACTAGAGAGAATAAAGAAAGTATTTTCTTGATATCATCTATATATATATAATAAGAATTACCATTTACTAAAAATAGTAGCCAAAAATTTAAGAAACATTTAATGCATACCATTTTTGAAAACTTTTTAAATATATGAATTAATTTCTTTTATATACATGTTTCAAATAAGATCAAATAAGATATGTTCAAAAAAATTACTTAAATAATCATTGATATTCATTATAATAAATTACAGGATTGGTTTTCTGTAATTCATGTTGATAATCATTTGGTCAAGAGAAATATTATTTTATTAATATTTGTAATACTTTCATTGATATTCATTATAATAAATTACAAGATTGATCTCTATGATCTATGTTGATAATATTTTGGTCAAGATAAATATTACACCATATTTTAAGTTCTAACCATAATATTAATTTTTTTCACAAATATTCACTTCTATATATATATAATGGGAATTACCATTTTTTAAAAATGAAAAGTTAAATTTCAGTCAACATTAATTACCTATCATTCTTAGTAACTTTTTTTTTTCCTAATAATCATATTAACAATATATTAAAAGAGTGATTAACATGCTTTGTTATATAGATACGTGATTTTCACTTAAAATTGAAATGGTAACAGGTTTTGTTCATTAAAAATTGACAATATGTTAACAAGATTTTTCAATTTATGAGGCTTTGTTCATAAATTTTTCAACATGTAACAGCATGTTAACCATTTTTCAAAGTCTGTTAATACATATCAAGTTTTAATATGACAACAATATTTATTTATTAATTCATTTCAATTTTTAATATTCCCCAAACTTCAAACAATCATATTAACAATACGCTTATATGACAACATGTTTAATGATTAATGCATATTTATATATCATTTTATTAATATTTATGTGAATAAAATAATATTTTATTATAATTTTTATTAACGTACAGTGAATATGGTTTTCAGAATCGAACCATCATCGAAACGATCAAGTTATTCTATTAAATCATTTGTAATTTGTTCAGATTTTAATTTATATACATTTTAATATCAATATATATACATTTTAATATATATATATATATATAGTATTTTTTGTAATAAATTTTAATAAAATGTGTTACTTAAATATCTAAACAATTTATAAATATCTATTTTATTTAAATATGTAATTTTATTTAAAATAATTTTAAATGTAACAAAATTTATTTAGAAAATCGTAACGATCCTACAGTCCAACCGACTGATGTTGACGGATTCAATAGTAAATATTTTATTCAAGCGAACTACAATGTTTATAACCCGGTTCTCGGTCTATGCGGTCGAACTGTGTCCAACCTGGTTTAATTTAAAAACAATGAGTAAATCATAACTAATGATATTATATATTTAATTTATAATATAATCGTAATATTATTTTTCCGTGCATCGCACGGGCCACGCACTAGTTTTCATTATAATTGAAACTCCTAATTATATGAAAACTTCTAATTAATGACACAATCATAATAATGATTCTTTTACGGGAAAAAAAAAAAGAAGAAAAGTTGTGGACATAAAAAGAAAAAGAAAAAAGGGAGTGGAAAAGAATAGAAAGGCCGTATTCATTGAATACGGTTTTTGAATTTTTTATTTGTAAAACGTATTCCGTGAATACGATTTCCTTTGTAAAAAGAATGTAAAAAACGTATTTAAGGAATACGTTTTTTAATTAAATTACACAGAAAACGTATTTACCAAATACGTGCTTTCTATGTTGGTCCACTCTCCCCTTTTTTTTTTTGTTTTTTGTCCACTTATTATTTTTTTATTAATAAATATATAAATTACCCTCATAATAATATCGAGAAAAAATAATTATTCACATTTATACATATTAGTAATAATACAATTACATCTGGACAAAATAATCATTCATATATATAAATATTAATTCATTTGTGTGGTTTAGATTTGTTTGATAACATCAACTCATTAAACAATGGTTGAATTTACTAGCATGGGATCTATATATATATAATTGCTAGCTAAGCAATAAATTTTACCTAATAAATAAAACCTAATATATTTTACCTATGTGGCAAATCATTAATAAAACCTAATAAAGAAAACCTAATAAATTTTATTTATGTGGCATTAATACACCCAATCTCATTAATAAGAAAATATTTCATTACATTTTTTTGGGTTAATTAAGACAAAAACCATTATATTTTATGTTAATTGATTAATAATTATATTTTTTATTGAATAATATAATAGTTAATATTAAAATTAGTAATTATATCTTATACTAAATATATGAAAGTTACATAAAATTATATTTTACACTAAAATTAATATTTTTTTATATGATGAAGCGGTTGTTTATTAATAAATTAATTTTTTTTATGTCATAGTAAAATTTCTCAAAATCACATAAGCAATTGTTATAATAAATGTAATATTTTTCAGCTAATTAATTGGTCATGATCACTCAAAATTATAAAAAGTATATATTTATTACATTTTATGCAATTAATATAGTGATTCGTATACAATCAAATCGTGTGTACTATTTATTTTAACCAATGATCAAATTTTAAAATATAATATTATTATATAATTTATAATTTTAATATTATATACATAAATATAATTTATAATACTATATGTTTGAAATATAATACAATTATATAATTTATAATTTTTATATTATATATATAAATATAACTTATAATATTTAATTTTATTTATATCTGTGCAAATGCACAGAGTCGAATACTAGTTAGTGATGAAGCCCAGATTCCCTTAGCCTCTTTGACGATCATGATCGTTTTGCAACATTAGTTTAATTATTTATTTCCTTTATTACTAATATTTGTATTATAGTTTTGGTAGGATAATATTTATTTGTCTTACACCATATTTCTTTCCCTAGTCTTTTTCTTGCCAGATAAGTTATTATTTAGGTCTTAGGGCATCTCCAAACTCATTTTTTTCTCTTTATTTATTTTATCTTTAATTAAAATATATAGTTAGGTTAAAAAAGGCTTAAACTGCCAAACGCTTCGTCGCTCACAAACTCAGTCAATCAACATTTAAGAGAATAGGGAGGATTGGAGCTGGGGATTTTGGAGGTGAAACTGTAACTGCAAAGTAGGTATCTTTTTCGCGACTCCCTTTTTTTCCTCAAATTTTTCGTTTTTTGCTGTTTTCTATGTTATCGGTTAGACCTTCTTTTGTGTGTTAGTGTGTGTGTGTGTTTTGGATTTTTTTTTATTGGGGTTTCGACTTGCTGTACATGAAATTACTGATTTTCGACTTGTTGTACATGCTCTTCTCGGTCATTCTGTCAAAAACTGCCCTGGCCATTTTAAGGTCCCCACAAGGGGCGTACAATTAGCCAGAGCAGTATCAATATTCATATATTTCTTCATGCCAAAAGTGATGCTCAGTTAACCCATTAATCAATATACATATTTTAAGGTCCTCGTTAATATTATTTATTCAAGGTCCTCGTTAATATGNAACTGTTTATTATAGTTACTTCTCAATCTTATTACCAAAATCAAAACCTTCTTAAATTCACTATGATCACAAACCAACTGCTAAATTCTAGAATGTTTCCTCATTATGTTGTTTGATTTTTTCCATCAGATTCAACCGATTCATTTTTTTATCTCTATTTGACGGATCTGGTTTATCCTTGTATGCATAAACATGAACATATTCATGGATTTTTAGCATTGAAGTAGTTTGTGTGCATTTGTGCAGGAATAATTTCAAATCGAATAAAACTTACATCTCCACCAATTAGTTTGAGAAACTAACAATGGACCTCCGGCAGTCAATCGCCACTCAAACCGACTTCTCCTCGTGGCTCGCGAAGCACCTCATCTCAACCCACGTCAAGGACGACAACACCCACGTCAAGGACAGCAACTTCGTATTCTCTCCCCTCTCAATTCACGTCGTGCTGGCCATGGTTGCGGTCGGGTCGGGCCGTCCTGCCCGCGAAGAGCTCCTGCGCTACCTCATGTTCGATTCAATCGAGGAGCTCAATTCCCTGTCATCGCAGATCGCCACCTGGCTGCTAGCCGACGGGGGGCCGCTAGGCGGCCCTCACATGTCCTTCGCCAACGGGGTTTGGGTCGAACGCAGCCTTGTCCTGAAGCCCGATTTCAAAGAAATCATCGAGAATACTTATTGGAGCGCAGTAGATCATGTCGATTTTCGGAATCAGGTTAGGTTTCATAACTTCGCACCAATTGGATTTAGGATTTTCGATTAACGATAGTACAGTTGATTTCATCATATTTTGTGTTTAGTTTGAATCGTGTGCCTCCTTTTTGACAAATCGTGCCGCAATCATGTGCCAATATAGTGTTTCTGGTAGTGCCGTCTTGTGTTGTGCTCACCGTGTCATTTGTCTTTGTGATTCCCAATCGTGCCTGCAATTGTCACCTCTAATTTAATTTATGTACCAACTCTTTAATTAATTTGATTTTCCTTTTTTTCAGTCTAATGTGGCAAGAGACGCAGTGAATGCTTGGGCCGAGAAGAAAACAAATGGTCTGATAAAAGATCTGCTCCCATCCGGCTCAGTCACTAATATGACTAAGCTCATCATTGCAAATGCACTCTACTTCAAAGGAGCCTGGAATTCAAAATTCGACCCGTCTCTAACCAAAGACCGCGACTTTTTCCTCTTGAACGGAAGTTCTGTCCGTGTCCCCTTCATGACCAGCTCCAAGGACCAATTCGCGCTCGCCTTTGACGATTTTAAGGTTCTGAAGCTACCATACCAAAAGGGTCAGGACACGCGGGCATTCTCCATGTACTTCTTTCTTCCCAATGCCAGGGATGGCTTGCAGGCGCTCGTTGAGAAATTCGGCTCGATTTCTGGGTTCATAGAGCACCACACGCCACGTGAAAGAGTGAAAATGGGGGATTTTCGTCTCCCCAAGTTTAAAATAAGCTTCGATTTTGAGGCTTCAAAGTTTTTTAAGAAGCAAGGATTGGTTCTCCCTTTTCGCGGTGGTTTGACCGAGATGGTTTACTCTTCCCCGGATAATCCTTCACTCGAAATCTCGCTCTTTTTTCATAAAGCATACGTAGAGGTGGACGAACAGGGCACGGAGGCTGCAGCAGCTTCGGCTTGTGTCAACGTGGTTGGATGTTCGATGTACATCAAGCCCGTGGCCTTGTTTGACTTTGTAGCTGACCATCCTTTCCTCTTTGTAATAAGGGAGGAGACCAGTGGTGTTGTGCTCTTTGTTGGCCAAGTTGTGAATCCTCTGCTGTCTGACTGACTTCATAATATGAAGCAATGGATTTTATGCTATAGTGACACAAGTTTGTGAATTTCTTAGGGGGTTTAGCGTTTAGGTTTTGCTATGATTGCATTTTGAACCTTCAGTCTTTGAATTTCTTAGGATTTAGATTTTGTGATGATTGCATTTTGAACCTTCAGTCTTTGAATTTCTTAGCGGGTTTAGGTTTTGTGATGATTGCATTTTGAACCATCAGTTGATTTGCAAATTGCTTTAGTTGAATTTTAGCTTTCTATGCTTTAGTTGAATTTTAGCTTTCTTTGAAATCATGTAATTAATTTTAGAGATTTAAAAATTACATATTTACTATTTTATTTTAGATTTAAAAATTAATTTTAGCTTTATGCACAACAAAAAAATGTTATATTCCAACGAAAAATCCTATGGTAATATATTCCAATGGAAATTCCAACGGATATTCCAATGGTATAACTTCCGTTGGATTCATTCCAACGGGAATTCCAATAAAAATATTCCGTTGGAATGTATTTCTCATTGGAATTTTAGATGGAATTTGATGATTCCAACGGCTATATTTCTAATGGCTTTTCCAATAAAAATATTTCGTTGGAATGTATTTTTCATTGGAATTTTAAATGGAATTTGATGATTCCAACGGCTATATTTCCAATGGCTTTTGACCGTAGGAATTTCTATTGGAATATGCAATTTCCGTTGGAATGTTTATTTCCATCACCGTTGGAAAATCTACCGTTGGAATCGTCAAAATCAAACGAAAATTCCAATAAAAAATTCATTCCAACGGAATATTTTTGTTGGAATTTCCGTTGGAATATTCCAAAGGAAATAATAACATTGAAATATTCATTGGAATTGCCGTTGGAATTCTATTAGAATATATTTTCGTTGAATTTCATCATTTTCTTGTAATGCTGGTCTTTTAAAACACCAGTGCACAGCACAGCCGGTTCTAATTTATGTTTTCATTAATTATGAATTTATTTGTTATTGAATAATACATTGTATTTGAAAAATATGTCCTGATTTCATGAAATATGTCAAATGAACATATTATTTGTCAAGATATATTACACATGACGGAATCTGATAAAGGGCAAAGAAATTATAGAATGTTTAATCGAACATTTGCTATTTCGTTACTGGTTTAAAGCTTCTAAGAGTTTACGAAATTTTATATTTACCATACATGGGTGTGTTCTTGAAATATATTATAATGATAAAAATGACAATTTAAACATATTAGCATTGACATAATCTGACAACTTGGCTAGGAAAATTTCAATGGTACAGACCATTATGGGAAAAGTTCTTGTGTAATTGACCCAAATATTAGGTAAATAAATATCAACTCCGCTCTCTCGATAAACTCGCCCCATTCGTAGGCATCAGTCTGTCCCCTTATAAGTGTAACTTGACTATATGATTTTTTTTTTCAAATCTTCACATCCACTCTAAAACAACATTGAGTTTCCACTGAAAATCATTTTTTTAGAGTTTCCACTGAAAATCACATGTAGCAACCTTATAAAAACAACACAGACTACAGTGTGCTATGCATTCCAGACGACTTTCGCATATTCCGACATATTACTGAAGAATTATACATATCAGAATTTAACCCCCGACGTAAAAAATAACGCAGAATATCAAAGACTAATCTCCATCATTAGCAATACCCCCAGAATATGATACACCAAGTAATCATCTGATTTCTATTTATCTATAGACCTTTTTCCGTTTTGCCAGAATATGATCGATCAATCGATATATAAGCCCCACTACAACCAATCATCTTCAGTAAGGATTAACGGCCAACAGAGAATACTCAATGCGAAGAAATATTTTTCCAGTGTCAATCGAAGTGTTAACCAGACCAGTGATCTTGGGCGGTTGGGCCCCTCTTTTCATCTCTTTTGAAGTTCTTTTTAGGTTATTATTTCCCATAAGAACATTTTTCAACGTAAAGCATGTGAAGACTACAATTCATAACAAAGAGTGATGAGGATTTCTTGAAATTTGTTTAACGCTCTTCACTAGATTAGTAATAGTGTAAATAAAATTCGATTATTGATCCAACACAACTTTAATGAATATTTGAAAAATATAATGTCCAATTTTATTATATTTTTTAAATTTCTTGCATAATGTAATCTGAATTTGTAGACTCATCCGTCCATAGATTTTTTTGTCTCTTATTATAAACACACAATACATGAAATTCGTCAGACCATAGGTGACATAAATTTAAAGGCAAAACTAAGTTATCTTAAACGATCTAAAAGTCCCTAAGTTCGTCATTCACAATTTGCTCTTTATCTCTCACATTTCAATGTCTAGTAAGGGAAAACGAAGAATTAATAGCGGCAACTCCAGTCAACTGTGCAAGTTCTGCCAACATTAAAATACTCCAGTTAGCACAATTTCATCTAGTAACACAATAAAACTCAACATATTTTCAACTTATCAATCATTTCAATCGTTAGTGTTTTTTTTTTCACATTTTATCACATTTAAATTACTATAATTCATTCTTATCCAGAAACACGTCCATCAAATTCATCGTTCATCTCTAGTCTTAATAGGTGGAAAGAGGATGAACATATATATTTTTATGGAACGTAACAATAAGCTAGACTCATATAAGTTGATAGAGCGACTTACCCTTACAACATGAAAGCATTTGGTTGATTACGAAAATATTAAGAAAAGTTACAATTTACATGAACTAATATGTGGTACCATCTCACATATTGCCATTCATAAGAAAAAGAGAGTCGCCGCCCTCAAATTAAAACAAATCTAAAGTTGTGTGTTTTCTTGTAAATTTTAAAAAGTTGGAAGAACACTTAACCAGAGTACTCACATTCTCTTGAAACATGCATAGATGAGAAGATGTGAGCGGTACCGACCGAAGCTTTGACTGAATCAACCAAATCGACATGCTTTTGCCTCATTGGTATAGTAAAGCTCCTGAAAGATTTTATCCATGAAATTAATAATGTTATTAGATAGAAGGTTTTAGATTAAACCTTTCAGGTATATTTCTNAAAAAAAAAAAAAAAAAAAAAAAAAGCAAGGCATTTGCCAGGCTTTGGTCAAACCAGAAGAACTAGTTCAGTTGCACGTTGAGAGCTGTAATTGAACGGTTTACCAGAGTGAGACTATAAACCTAAAGGAGCAGTGCGTGAAATAGGGGGCTGTTTGTAATTTCCGTTATTTATTAAATTCGTTTGTTTTTCTAATTTTGTAATATTTTAAGACCTTTGTTACAATTTCGGTATTTTACTTTCTTTAAATTGTTCATTTGGAAACTTTTAATCAATAAGAAACCTAGAAAACGCTCGCGGACATCAGGCAGTCAATCGCCGCCCAAACCGACTTCTCCTCGTTGCTCACGAAGCAACTCATCTCCAGCCACGTAAAGGACAACAACTTCGTATTCTCGCCCCTCTCAATTCACGTCGTGCTGGCCATGGTCGCGGTTGGGTCGGGCCGCCCTGCACGCAAACAGCTCCTGCGCTACCTCATGTTCGATTCGATCGAGGACCTCAATTCCCTATCGTCGCAGATCGCCACCTGCCTGCTAGCCGACGGCGGGCCGCTCGGCGGCCCTCTCCTGTCCATCGCCAACGGGGTTTGGGTCGAACGCAGCCTTGTCCTGAAGCCCGATTTCAAAGAAATCATCAAGAATGCTTATCGGACGCAGTAGGTCATGTCGATTTTCGGAATCAGGTTAGGTTTCGTAATTTCGCACCAATTGGATTTAGGATTTGCGATCATGTGTCACTATATTGTTTCTGGTAGTGCCGTCTTGTGTTGTGCTCACCCTGTCATGTGGTAAGAGAAGCAGTGAATGCTTGGGTCGAGGAGAAAACAAATGGTGTGATAAAAAATCTGCTCTCACCCGGCTCAGTCACTAGTATGACTATGCTCATCCTTGCAAATGCACTCTACTTCAAATGAACCTGGGCTTCAAAATTCGACCCGTCTCTAACCCACGTCCGCAAATTCTTCCTCTTGAACGAAAGTTCTGTCCGTGTCCCCTTCATGACCAGCTCCAAGGACCAATTCGCGCTCGCCTTTGACGATTTTAAGGTTCTAAAGCTACTGTACCAGAAGGGAAAGGACACGCGGGCATTCTCCATGTACTTCTTTCTTCCCAATGCCAGGGAAATTCGGCTCGACTTCTGGGTTCATAGAGCGCCACACACCACATCAAAGAGTGAAAATGGGGTACTTTGGTCTCCCCAGGTTTAAAATAAGCTTCGATTTTGAGGCTTCGGATTTTTTTAAAAGGCAAGGATTGGTTCTCCCTTTCCGCGGTGGTTTGACCAAGATGGTTTACTCTGACCCGGATAATCCACTCGAAATCTCACCTTTCTTCATAAGGCATGCGTAGAGGTGGAAGAACAGGGCACGGAGGCTGCAGCAGTTTCGGATTCAATGTTGGAGGCTACATGTTCGAGGTACAGGCCCGTGGACTTGTTTGACTTTGTAGCTGACCATCCTTTCCTCTTTGTAATAAGGGAGGAGACCAATGGTGTTGTGCTCTTTGTTGGCCAAGTTGTGAATCCTCTGCTGTCTGTCTGACTTCATAATATGAAGCCTGATCTTGATTGACTCTCCTTTTTTCATTATGATTAGTTATGGTTTTATGCTATAGTGACACGAGTTTGTGATATTCTTTATGGGGTTTAGGTTTTGTGGTGATTGCATTTTGAACCTTTAGTCGATTTGCAAATGCTTTTGTGGAAAAATTGCATTATTCATCCACTAACTATACCTTCGTTTGCACTTTCGTCTTTTAATTGTTTATTTTTTACTTTTGGTACACTATCATTTTTTTTGGTAATTTTTTAGTCCAAATCGACATTCCAGTGCTCGTTTTTGCCGGAAAAGCTGACGTGGCGCCTAGTCGGATCTGATTTTTTTATTTCCGGCGTGATGTGGCACGAGATGGGCCCAAGTATTTGGACACGTAGAACAAAATAATATAAAAAAAATAATAAAAAAAAAAGAATGTTAAAAAAATCATGTGGATTAAAATCATTAAACAAAAAACAAAAAACAAAAAATAAAAAAGAAAAGGGGAAATCTTCCCATCAGAATCGCTGGTGGAGGTACGTGATCCAATCTTCCCCATCTGCTCTGCCCATCCAGAAAACCCCAAGCTTGCCGGAAAATCACCTCCGACCATAGCCCTGACCCGGTCTATGGGGGAATTCAAATACGATTCGATTTCAGCCGGAGTTTCAGAAAATTGGGAGTCCTCCAGAGAATCCCAAATCCCTTGATCCATCACACTAGAGATTTTCTTGTTAGCTCCCTAATTCCCCGACACTTAATCCCCAACCTCACGCACCCGAAGTCGGCGTCCCCGATCAAAATGTTCTGGCCCTTAATGGCAGTGGAGATTTAGAGAATTACGAGAGAAGGGGAAAACCTCAGAAGGCTTTGTATTTCGCTAAAGGAGATGCCTTCCTTGGGCAGACCAAATGAGAGAACCCAGGGCCAGGGGGAAGAGCTCCTAGATCTCCAACTACAAAGGTCAGTCGGAAACCGGTGGAAAGACAGTTATATTATATAAGTGCGAACAAACTCCTTTCTACGGAACGAGGCTTCTATTGAAGTTTGAAAGCTGAGAAGCGGCAGGCGATACAGCTTAGCCGCTATTTTGGAACGGTAGCGAACTCTAGTCCGTTTGAATTCTTAAGCTAATTAGATCCCGCTGGCAAAATCCAATTCAAATATCTCAACGTAAAAGGAAAATCGTTTCACTTTGAAAGGGGGAATTCTGCGGGGGCAGAGTGTGCCATCACCTGTGTGAGCATGTGAGTAGTTCCCCCGGCTAGACCAGTGCCAATAGTTAGAGTTTATACTCCTTTTTCAGGCCTTCGCCTTAGTCCAAAGGGATGATTCTGTCAAGAAAAGAATTCGTTACAAATAAGGGGAGGAACTGAGAGAAGAGAAAGTCACTCTTCTTATCGTTCGTGAACCATAGGACAAATGGTTCACTTCACTTTCTTTAAGAGGTATAAGACTTATTGCTTAGTATGCCCGGTAGTATGAGCTACTTCCTCTGTGAATGATCACCAGCATTACCTATTGAAGACTGTCTTTTCCCCTCTTTCACGCCGACTTCCCCTAAGACCTCTTTTCACTCGGCAGTCTGTCAGAGTTAGCGCTTCGGCTCTTCTTTCTTTCTCTTTTCTTTCTATGCGTCTAGTCCTGTGTTTTTTCACCGAAACTTCAGAAAGGATGAAGGATATCTAAATTACATCTATCCTCTCCTCCCAATGGCTGCTTGTGTAGGTGGGGATCCGGTATTTTCTGAATCTTTATGTAAGGAATTACAAAAGAAGTTCTTCCACTCTGTCCCGAAGAATAACTAGGACCAATTTCGTCATGTTTTCGTGTTCCAAGATTCATCAGATGAATTTTCAGATGGTACGGACAATTCTCTAAAGCATCACCGGCATCCCGATAAAAGAAAATCAAAATAAAATTTGAGAAATAAAAAAAACGGATATCAAATCAAATGTTAATTTGTGTGAAGTGAAGATCTGAAATTTGCACGATACAATGGCAGTGGAGATTTATCCAATTCTTTTTTTTTTTCTCTCTTTTTGTATTTTGTTTAATGGTTTAATCCATGTGTCTTCACATGTGGATTTTTTTAACATTTTCTTTTCTTTTTTTTTTATATTATTTTGTTCCATTATCCAAATACTTGGGCCCATCTCGTGCCACATCACGCCGAAAATAAAAAATCAGATCCGACTAAATGTCACGTCAGCTTTTCCGGCAAAATGAGCACCGGAATGTCGATTTGGACTAAAATTTCAAAAAAAAAAAATGTTAGTGTACCAAAAGTAAAAAATAAACAATTAAAGGACGAAAATACAATGATGGTATAGTTAGTGGACGAATAATGCAATTTTTCCTGTTTTAGTTGAATTTAAGCTTTCTGGTCATTGAAAACATGTTATTAATTTTAGAGATTTAAAAATTACATATATACTATTTTATTTCCTATAAAGGTATATAAAATAAACATGGATAAATAATGTAGAGTGGACATCTTTTACACCTATATACGTTTTATTTTTACACACCATCCCATTAAAAAACTTATTTTTCAACTTAGAAAATGCAAAAGTTATGTAAATGGTTTGCATGACTATCGCACATTCATCTTGCATAACTGTCACATAACTATCGAATATTCATTTCACTTTTAACTTTCGCACAATTGTTCGCATAACACTTCGTATGTTTTCGAGTGAAAAGGTTAATTGTTGCATAATTATATACACACAATTTTAATTTAAAATTTAAAAATACAAATAAAAATAAAAACACCAATCCAATGAGTCGAATTCTTCAAGTCACTTCAAATTTGATTAGTCCACTCGCTGACAAATTTGAATGGCCCACCCAAACCGTCTGACGCTCTGCTCCCACCGGAAATGTATATACAAAAATTAGAATAAATTAAGAAAATGTGTACAAAATGGCCCTTCAAATTGATGGCACCTGCGAGCCACTTCGGGTCCAGATTTGGAATAAAAATTTGTCTAGGCGGTTTGAGTGTCTGCAATTTTCGAGTTGAGAGTCTAGATCTGTTATTCCTTTGGGGTTTGGTATTTTGGGTGCGTCTCGGTTGTCAGTTTAGGTGGTAGTGTGGTTTGTTTGTTCGACACTATTAAATTGGGATTTCAAGTGACAACTGACACTATTAAATTGGGATTTTAGGTGACATTTTGAGATTTTTTAAGATTTAAGATTTTTTACTTTTTAAAGATTTTCAGATTTTTGAAGAATTTTGTGAAATTTTAAGTATAAAAGTGGGATTTCGTATAAAGTCATTTATTTAGAAATTCCACCAAATCTTAAAATTTCTTAACAAATCTTAGTCTCAAATAAGTTAAATACCTCAGAATTTTGTAGACTTTTAAAATCTCAATTGAATATCCCAAGACTTTTAAGTCTTAAAAAATTTTAACAAATCAAAATTGAATACAACATAATTTCTAAAGTGTTTAAAAATCTTTAGAAATATTAATGGAATACACCCCCAGAATCCAGAAAACCTAGACCTACCCCCTTGAAATTGCATAAGAATCCAAAGGGTACATCTCCTGATCTCCATCTCGAAGACAACCGCCACAACTAAACAAAACTCGATAAAGGAGACTTAAGTTCCATAAAGGAGACTATAACTAGAAGAAACTGAACTAACAAATCGAAAAACAAAGAAAAACACATACTGAATGTATAAATAAAATAAGACCTCCCCTAAATTAATCTAGCAAACATAATGCATGATCACAAAATGGCCCACGATTCACTCCCAGCAGAGAGATCCAACAAAGCAGGAAACCGAAACCTCAAACTCAAAAACTGCAGCTACTCACGTCGCCTAGACGGTTTTGATAAAGAGTCAACTGATTCAGATCTAGACTCCGAAAATCTACCACGCCGGAGAAGAGAGAAGTCACCACAACAGTTTGATTTGGATAGTGATGATGACATTCTTTTTTTTTTTTTTTTTTTTTTTTTTATATATATTCAATTGCTCCTAGATATATAATAGTAGTTTGGATATGTACATTTATTTGTATATCCTATTCCCGCTACAGTCAAGAAGCCACTTTACTTTAGCTTTGATGAAAAGAAACATAAATTCCTATTAACTAAAGTGAAATAGTGATTCTGAATTACTAATTAAAAGTTCAGCGTGCGTAGACATATAATTTGAAACCTATTGGTCGATGTAACGTTTATTGATTCCTTGGTACGATATGTATATATATTTTATCATGTTTATGAGACTCGGACTAAACATCTACGACGACATGAGGCGGACGCTCACTGGCAGTGTGATGGTTCATCTAATCGATATGATCGGTGTGAAAATAAATTTACAAAAAGAAAAAAAAATAATTGAAATTATTTAACAAGAAAATATTGAACTAGACCAATCAAATTAGTCTAAAATGGATGTTATTGGCACCTGAAAATATTTAAAAAGAAAAACTGATTGAAAGTTTCGATCAAAGACTCAAATAGTCTAAGAACCGTTGTGAAGTTTGGTTGAATGTTATATTATATTTTTAATATTCTCTTATTTTTAATACAATTAAAAATAAGTTTAAGATAAAGAAAGATATATTTGTACATATTGGATATGTATCATTTATTTTTGTATTAGGTTATACATTTATGTTATTTTAAATTCCTTATATGTTTGGATTATAACATCTTTATATCTATCTATATACACACACATTGACACACACACATAATATATATCTATATATATATATATATATATATATATATATATAATTGATGTGATAAGTTGAGGATATACCTGAATCGACGAGTTGGAAGCCAGTTTCTTCAAAAGAAGGAGCCCAAGCTATTTTGGTCTCCCAATCTGCCTATACTTAGGCAAGATCTACGATTATATTTGTGGTCCTTATCTCTAAAATCGCTTTTCTCTCTTAGATCTCTTTTCTCAGTAGATATCTTTCCATGTAGGCTCCCATTATCCAAGTTCACTTATCTCTTCTAAGGAGACTCAGTCGTTGGTCCATCGAGCTATCTTTATCCTATGCAAGCTCTCGACCTCAACCTGAATCTTACCAATCCTGTAAGTGAGACTGATATGAAAGACCTGAACTATCCAACCTGATTAGCTCAGCTATCCTCGAGCTAATGGACCCAGTCCAGCCGAGCTAGGGCTATATCAATAACATAAAAATGTAATATAGTATCGGTGAAGATTAATAAGCTACCATGGGTTGGCTCAACTCAATATAAAAATTTGTTACTTAAACTAAAAAACTCTGCATATATCATTTCATTGAATATGACACACAAAAAATAATATAAACCTTGTTGGATAACAAGCTTTGAGCACTTACGTAATTATTGTATTAATTATTTTGACCAACTGATAATATTAATTTTTTGTAAAAAATAATTGATAATATTAATTGTTTGATATTAGCTATTAGTAAATTTTAAATGTTACTATTATTTTTACCTAAAAAAGTTACGAATAATTTATATTTTGTACTGCATTTACCAAACATTGAACCATACCAATGATTGAAAATAAATAGATACTAGTACAATACCCGTGTATTACACGGGTGTTGAATCAGAAAGCTTTTATAAAAAATATTAATTTTTTTTTAAAAACTAAAATAATTTAATTTTATATAAAACATTACTTTGGGTTTTAATTAAATTGTCAAATTATATTTTTTAATCATAATAATTAAACATTCGTACTTTAAATGAAGATGTCAACCCTTGTTGAGTTTTTTTACTTATATCATATAAAAATATCGATATTATTTACTATTAAATAAGTACAAAAATATATATCTAAAATAAACAAAAATAATATGGTGATATGTATATGCGTAAGTGTAGAATATGTTTATTTAATATTAAACAAAATAGATTAATTTTTTTACTTAATTAGATGCCTAATACATCAAGTGTAGTATCAGTAGTACTTCACAGTTTTTTCACTTTATATGTAATTTTAGAATTTATATAAATAATTATTTATTTTTAGTACATTGACAACATACCAATTAGATTTGAAATAAATATCATTTTTAAAAGAATACATACCAATTTCTATTACTTTATAATATAATTTATAGTTTTATTTGATATAATTTAGTTTAGTTTGATAAATAAATGTAAATTTTATTTATAAGGATATATATTACTGTTTTGTATTATATATATATATAAATAAATAGTAAAATACAAACGGACTTCATAATATCAATTCAAATGCAACACACTAATTAAGATTTTTTTTCTTGACAATATTAACTCTATTTAATGGATGTTATGGGAAACGATGGAGATGAGATATGAAGAGACACTGTGTATTAGATGGAGGGTTAAAAATAAAAAAATATGAACAAAATATCTAAAACGACATTTATTTTATCAATGATCAATTAAGCCTAAGTGACAAATAATAAAAATAAGGGGGAGTATAAATTATTATATATTTTAGTATTACACGTGTTACTTGTGCGATTTATATGTGTTATATTATAATAAATTTTCTACCTTATAACATACAATTACATTAAACATAGATATATTAATTGATAATTTTTTTATTTTCTAATTAATTTTAATAAATAATTTATTATTATTATAAAGATAAATATAATTTATTTATTCTATATACAATATGGATGTCAAATCGAAGTTCATAAAAAAATGATTAATTTGATATATTATATATGTAAAAGCGATAAGAAATACAAAAGTTATCAACTTTTAAAATATATTTTCTATTCAGTGGTTATAATAGGAAATGATATTAAAATATAATTAATATAAATATTAATTTATATCCAAACCTAACTCCAAAGCATGATTTTTTGTCAAATAGGATTCCAAAGAATGATAGTTTGCCACGTAGGCTCAGCGCATTGTGAAATTATATATAGGGGGATACGTTAAAATATAGAAAATTTCGATAATTAATATTTAACTATTACTAATATGCTCATCTATTTATCCGAACATTAATTTTAGGGGTTTTATCTAGTAAAAACGGTTAACATAGGATTTTGGCCCAAAATACGAGACCACATGAACTATAAAATTTCATATTCCCATTCCTAAATAGAACTTATTTCAAAAGTTAGGGAATATTTTGACAAATTGGACAAATCCATGATTCATAGCGAACTAGAAGACATTGACAAAGTCACATCATTAACTCTAAAATAGTTGATGTTGAGTGGTCGTCTGGCTCGACTCGCCGGGCTCGGTTGGCCCCGCTTGATCCCGAACAGCTGATGGTTCGTCCCGGCAGCTCCCGTTAGGCACTGAATAGCAACCTTTACCTCCCGGTCTGAATAGCTCCTGGTCGCTCCAGAAATTATCCCGGTCTGACCGCTTCCAGCTGAAACAAGAAATTCACAATTAATACAGATAAATTGACAAAGCTGCAAAATAAATAAGAAAAATAATAGGAACGAATACATCCTTTTCGTGTTCTCGTACGAGGAGCCCGAATGCTACTATTGCCGCGATGGTGGGTTGAAATCGAGTAGACTCAGTCCCCTTTTGTCAAACCCTCAAATTGAGTCACAAAAGAGCCGACAAATGAACCGATCAATTGGACCCTCGACCTCAATGACTCCGACACTGTAAACGCAGTGGTAACTCCACCGACCGACGCACAAAGCACAGCCCGAAGGTGGGTTCAAGCCAATTTACCGGACATCACGTTCCCAACAAGCAATCTCCGGCCAGAAGCTACAACTACGAAAGCAGTAAAATGCGGGTTCAAGCCAATTTACCAGAGTTAATATTTGCTTCAGAAATCAAAACATGATAACGCTAAATCAAATCAAAAATCTGCAAGAGGAGAAAACCGAAAAAAAAATAAATAAATAAAATTTGGAAACCATCTCCACCAATAAACGGGCAACCATCACCAAAGATATGATTTATATAAGCTTGGACTGCATTTTCTTTTCTTAAGATGGAATAAAATAATTTCGCATCAGCCAATTTTCCTTTAATATGAATGCTTTAGTTTTTGTTTCAAAACCTGAAATTGGAAGTATTTACCCTCAAATTGGATCTGGATTTGTAACTCACAATTTTGAAAAAAGCAATGAAAATAAAAAGAAAATGTATTGTTTTGAAGGTCCCAAGATAAACACAAACCAGAAAATAGTAAAATCAAATAATGGTAATCAGTTCCCAAATCTTGGCTCCTAGGTACAAAAAACAATTTCTAAGATATGGATATAGAAAAAGTCATTTGTAATAATAATATAGTAAACATAAAACGAAAGACCAAAAGCAAAACAGCAAATTGTCATCATTGCCAACATACACACTTTAAACAACCCCACTTTAATTCCAAACTATTTCCCCCTTCTTTTCCTTTGCCTCTCCTCCTCTCACCCCTTCGGCCTTCACTACTTTAATTTACCCACCACCTTTTATTTAATTTTTTGTTCAAGACTTCAAGCTCCACACACACACATACACACACTACCACTCTTTTTCTCTCTAAATGACCCACATAAATTATATTTATTTGTAATTATACATAATTCAATGACACAAAGTCCTCTGTTTGTCAAAGTGCAATCATGTCTCTTTGGATTGACATGGTTTATCTGTTGCCTTTCTTTCTCTGTTTTAAACTCAAACAAAGAAGCAGTATTCCTTTTGAATTACCCACCCAACAAAGTTGAAAAAACAGAAAGGTAGAAGAAATTTGAAGGGAAGGCAAGAAATTAAACAAGCACTGCAAACTTGAGAAGAATATGAGTACAAGAACAATCATTTGTTGCCTGCTATTTATTCACCTGGCTGCTCTTGTATTCTGTTCAGGTGACTTATCTCTTAGTACTTGTTCTACATCATGATGCTTGTAGTTGTACATATTACTCTATTTAATTGTATTTAAATTTTCAAAAACCGTGGTTGGTTAACTGGCAAAGAATTTCCTAATAAGGATGTTCATACCTCTTTAGTACTTTCATTTTGCCTTTTCATTTATTTTGTAGGCTTTCAATTTGTTTGTCATCATCTCATATTGTCTGTATAATGTTTGATACATGTTACAACACACTCACTTTGCCCTGTTTCATATAGTTTCATATATATGAGTTAAGGTTAATAATTTCAACTGTGTTGTATTATGTATGCACCAAGCAGATCATTAGCCTATCACAGAACACCTCTTTTCAGTTTCAGTGATTAATTGCACAAAATCCCCCCATATCTATCCTAATTGCAAGAAAACCCCTGTTATGTTTCAAAATTACAAAAAAAATCCTTATCATGCAAATGCACACTCTAATCTAATGCACATTGATACAAAAAATGGCAAGGCCCTTTGTCGATCTCCACCGAGCAAAAAGACGTAACTACCCCTATCACGACGGTCCCAACTGTCAATCCATCAACCGAGGTCATAAACCCGATTTCTTCAAACCCCGAGAAGCCTATGGTGATGAACCCCAATAATCCCTCAACTATCCCTTTAGAAACAAACACGCGACCTGTCGGAAGTTGGTGCATTGCAATGCAGTCTGTGCCACAGGCTGCATTGCAAGTCGCATTGGACTACGCGTGTGGGCATGGTGGGGCCGACTGCTCGGCTGTCCAGCCTGGCGGCCGCTGTTATTACCCGAACACGGTTAGGGACCACGCATCTTACGCGTTCAATAGTTATTACCAGATGAACCCGATTCCGGCCAGCTGTAATTTCGGTGGGGCTGCAGTTATTACAAGCACCAACCCGAGTAAGATATAAGAAACATAATTATTGTTATCTGTTTTTTTTTTTAAAAAAAATTATAATAGCTGTTGATGTATGTTTACTGTTGTGCAGGTTATGATTCATGTCAATTTCCAACAACTAGGTGAATTTTTGTTGTGTCAGAAATTAATATTTCTACAATGCTTAAGACAACTAATTAATTGGGAGTAACTTGTGGCTACTGTCTAAATTTTGCAGCACGAGTTCGTCGGTATTGAATATAAGCAGTTCGAGTGGGTCCCATGTGTTTGGTGCTGGTCGACCATACACGCCTACGACTTCTGCAGTTGTCATGAGTCGGTTTCCTTCTTCTAACTGGCTGTTAGCGTCTGTAGCCGTTTTATTATTTGTCCCACGGTGCATATAACTAAGGACCGGATTTTATTTAAGAACTGTAAGGAAATCGCTCGATTTTAGTAGGTATTGATATCTTTGTGCTGCATTTATTAGTTTTGTCTGATATGTTAGTAGGTATTGATATCTTTGTGCTGCATTTATTCGTTTTGTCTGATATGTTGACCATCTTGGTAATTGTAATCAATTGAAGGAGTGTAGATGAACTTGAGCTTGATTACTAATTACCAGATTATTGCAGTGTAATAGTGATATTTCTCCAAAATAGAACCGTTGAGAGTCAATATATGACGTTGTAGGCTTGTAGCCCATTAATTAATTTGGTAGACGAATAACAATCTCATATGTAGTCACATTTAAGTTAGGGTAGTGGAAGAATAATCAATGTATAACTCGAATAATGATATAAAATATTTTTGGACTGGATCATGAAGTAGATATTATTTGGTTGGTATGTACTGTCATGAAAAGCATATATTAAAAGAACAAGCATAATAATTGGTCAATACTAATGAGAGGCGGCAGCGATTAACGCCGCTGCTGTTGATTTGAAACCATAAAATCGTCAATGACATCACGATCAATGATAATACGAGATTGTAGGATGACAATTTTAAGGAAAACTGTCTGGAAAACTCGTGCCCTCATTGAATTTTTTACCATCAAATCAACACACAGTTCATGTAAGTCTGTGTGTGTGTGTGTGTGTGATTTAACAGTAATAAACAAATAATAGAGTATTTTCTTTCACAAAATTGACCAACGATTGATCTCAGGAAAATAATAAAGTATTTTCTTTCAGGAAAATATAGAATAGATATGAAATGATTCAACCAGTACACAAACAATAACCGATCCCTCCACCAACACAAACACACACCACAAAAAACAAATACAAAGACAAACAAACTTAATATATATATAGTAAGATCCTAAAAAGATATATAAAATATCAATTAATCATAATATCCTAAATCCACAAAGGAAAGAACTTGTTATCACCATCATCATCCTCGGCAGCTTTTCTCATGAAGTACCTCGCACACCCAAGCGAGCATTCTTTCTTGCATTCGCTCTCACTGAAAATTTTTATTTGTGTGCAGTCGAAGTAGCATTCTCGCATGCATTCTAGTTTCACGTTTTTCTCGGCCGCCACAGCCACCACCATTGCCGCCAATACTGCTGCCAACACATAATTAATCTGATGACTCGCCATTAATTGAGCTAGGCTCTTGATATATGATATATATGTATGTGTATTAATTAATGGATGATGTGCAAGAATTGTTTCGGAGTACTAATTAATTAGTTTTGTGTCCGTGAGTGTGTTTATATAGTCAAGTGATTAATCTTTGATAAAGGTCACGTCTCAAATGAAGGGGTGTGATACTTTCAGTATGTTTAAATTTTGAACGGGTGCTTGTATGAAATGGTTTGAAAAGTTTTCCATAATTTCAATTTATTTAAATTGTGAACGGGTGCTTGTATCAAATGGTTTGAAAAATTTCCATAATTTCAATTTATTTAAATTGTGAACGGGTGCTTATATGAAATGGTTTGAAAAGTTTCCAAATCACTGTTTATTCTATATTAGACACTTTCCCTATTAATTTAATTCTGATTGATATATAGTTTATTCGATTCCCTATTAATTTAATTTTGATTGATATATAGTTTATCCGAATAACTGTAACATACTCCCTGGGAATGCATTCGCTGTTAGTATCTAACCATTCCAACTGTCCATAGGCTTTTTAAGACTCAGTTTCTCAGCCAGTACATTCTTGGACTTTACTTCTTTTATCTTGGATAGGACATTAAAGGAAAAGCAAGTCTTCTGTATATCTCGATGGGCTTTGTCAGCATGACTCTCAAGGTGGATCCACACTTGTAAACAAATAATCGAGTATTTTCTTTCCCAAAATTGACCAACAATTATTCTCATACCATACCACATTCCAATTAAAATGACGGTCCCCTTTGAAGTAAACCAATTAACCAAATCAGATAAGGATTGCCACAATTTTCCTATAGACACGCAAAATTTAATTAATGTGCCACTAGCCACAATCCTAACCTTTTTTTAATTTGTCGTGGGGGCCTCCACGTCAGCCACTCATTATTCCCCCATTTTGTGCCACATATACAAAACCTTGATCAATCCTAATTACACAACCCCATAACACTAATGAATAAAATTATATGTATGGATGAGAAGGAGGAGGAGGAAAAACACCACCCCCTCCTACAACCATTCCTCCACCCACCCTCCGCCGCCACCGCCACTCCGCCGGCCGACCACCGGAATCCAAACAATCTCAACCTCGCTTTCCGATTCTCGTTCGTGGCCTTTGTCGGCATACTCTCCGCGTGGGCCAACCACGAAGCTTCGAAAGGCTACGCCGTCACCGTAGTCAACGGGGCCCACGGCACTCTCGCCGGAAAACGGTTCCAACTCTTCTACGCGTCTAACGACGAGGCCACGCGTGTTCTCGTCAAGACAAGCCACGTCATCCAATCCATTCTCTATCCCGACAACAACAATACTCCCTCCGATGACAAAAAACCCGTCTCGCACGTGGTTTTGGAGTTGACCGGCCACGATTTGACCGACGACGTCATCGTCCGACGTGGCGCGGGCCCCGGCGAGTTCGTGGTCCGAATAAGCCGCTCGGTTATGGAAGGCCCCGACTACGATCGGGCCGTGGTCCGAGCGGTGCGGAGAGGCGCGGCTCGTGTGTGGCTGTGGGATGGGCCGATAAATCTAGTCAACGGAATTGTAGAGCTTTTGGCGGGAGAATTGGGCGGGCCCATGGCCGGTCCAGGCCCGCTTGACTGGGCCGGTGCGTGCTGGACGCCCGAGGACCCGAGGGAGGTGGCGGAGTTCTTGAGGTACTGCGAGGTTCGGGCCGGGCCGGGCTTTGTTGGGAGATTGAACCGCGCCATGAAGGACGGTTGGGAGGATGGAATATTGGAAGGCTTGTTAGGACAGCCTGTGCAGGATCTGTGTAGAGAGTATCATGAGAAGTCGTTGTCGTACAACGTTTCAAGCGCGTAGTGCATCACTTGATCTTTGCTGGCCAAGCTGGACCTGAAATAATATTTTAGTCAGTGATGAGGTGGCAAATGGGGAATTATTTGGTGGACATGTCATGCGCCACATGGGGGAAGATGATCCAACGGCTGAGATGCGTCGTGTGGGCTCTTGATGCGTTCCATTTGATGACAACAGCACGTGGTGCGATATCCATGGCTATCGCAATGAATCCCCGAGCTATGGGAAATGGGAATCGATTCTATTGAATTTTCCTTTTCTTTTTTTTTTTTCATTCCATTCGGGTTGGTTATGTTGGTATATTAATTTATTTATTATTATTAAAGTTATTTTGGCTTTGTGAATTTGTAGAATATGATTTGAATTAAGATGTTGAATTCCAATGAGTTCATTTTGGTTCCAGAAATGTCACGTCACTTCTAGTCTAGCATAACATTTTGTACCACAAATATACATGCAAAATTTAAATTGGGAAATTTTCATTAAAAGACCCAACTTTTTAGTTATATTAATTTAAGTTGAATTTTATTTTCAATAGAAGATTTATATTTTAAGTTATTTTTAATTTACAGCTTAGTTTTAATTTAACTTCTCAATCTAAGGTCTGAGTAATTTTATTTTTTGACATAGATATGTGAACCATAATATTATTTTTTATAATCGACATTTTACTTATTTATGATAAAAATATTTATTATATTTAACAATTAACTTAAATGAGGAAATTAATTTATATAAGCTTAATAAGTTTTGTTTTTTAAAAAATAATAAAAGAATATCAAAAATATATAATTTAAATGTAATTTTGATTAATAATCTAAATATGTAATAAAATTAAGAAATAAATCAAAATATGTAATAAAAATAGAAAATTAAAAAAGTGAAGTAATAATCAAAATATGTAAGCCTATTTTTTCCTGGGCTTAATAATGGAAGGAGAAGATAAGGCCCAATGCGTATTTCCTCTCTGAGCAATCTGATTTGGGCTGGACAAACTAGTTAACTAATTGAACAAGCGGAGAAGATTATATTGGCTATCGAAATATGTTATCTGTTTTATTTAGTTGCACAAGAATTCCTTTAAGTTGTAATTCGAAAATACACTATTCACATGTTTCCCTCGTTTTACTTTTCTCTTTATCAATATAATATCCTTGTTTAAATAATAATGGATAATTAGTATTGATTTTTAGAATACATTTTATATTAATTTTATGTTCATACTTAGTTTTTGAATTTATTTGCAAATTAAATGGCTATTTTAAGGTATGTTGATACAAATTAATTTATTACTTTCTGAGGCAATTTATAATTTTATTTGATTTTTTAAAATTTGATTTAATATATAAATTTTAATTTTATCTATATCACTATTTTGTATTTTATATATGCAATATGAATGTTGGATCAAAGAGCGATAAAAATTATTAATCTGACATATCATATGTGGAAAACAAAATATGAAAGAAAATTACGAAATATATAAAAT